TATGGTCCTGTAGCTTGGCAGCTATGATGCCTGATAGGACTTTCCATGTTGTGGGGAGGCAAGTTATTGGCCAGTAGTTGGACAGTGTTATTCCCTTAAGGGGGTCTTTCATGATCAGCACTGTCCTTCCTTGTGTTAGCCAGTCTGGGTGGGAGCCTGCTGCTAGCAGCTGGTTCATTTGTGCTGCTAAGCATTCATGCACTGCTGTTAGTTTCTTTAACCAGTAGGTGTGGGTCATATCCAGGCTGTCCAGCTCTCTCTTTTTTTTTTAGATTTTTTATCCCACCTTTATAATTTTTATAAATAACTCAGCAAACATACCTAATAATGCTCCTTCCTCCTCTATTTTCCCCACAACAACAACCCTGTTAGGTGAGTTGGGCTGAGACAGAGTGACTGGCCCAAAGTCACACAGCCAGCTTTCATCCCTAAGGTGGGACTAGAACTTGCAGTCTCCTGATTTCTAGCCTCTAGCCTTAACCACTAGACAAAACTGGCTATTCACATTCTTGACCCGCTGTTAGATGTCTGCTACTGTGATGGTGACCGGTTCCTGTTCTGAGAGATTACTGTGGTCTGCTCTCAGGTCCTGCAGCCACTTTGCACTGGTACTAATGTGTCTTCTCTTTCGCCCATATACTGTATTCTTCCAGAATTGTTCAGTTTCTACTACTGGTGACTCTGCTGTTACTGTGTTGTTGCACTACAGTTGGGAGTACACCTTGGATGGTTCATTGGAGAACAGGGCATTTATCTTCTTGGCCTCTGCTTCTCTAGTGTATCTCCTTAGCCTGGTAGCCAGTGCTGTGGGCCTTTGTTTAGCAGTCTCTAGGACTTCAGATGGAGCAAGGCACTTGTATTTTTTTTCAGTAGCTGAGTCCTATCCTTAATCTCAACACCGTTCTCTAGTTCCACCAGCTGATTAACTTCTGAGTTGATCTTAGCCTCCAATCTCATCTTCCGGGGGGTGGCAGGGACGGGATATGTATTACTGTTCTTCTTGGTCTTGTAGCCAAGCACCTCCAGGATTACAGTGGCTGTAGTGTATACCAGTTCATTGGTTTGAGTTATGGTGGTCATAGGGATTGTCATGAGGGCTCCATTGGCATCTTCTAGCATACTATCTGATGGTAGATCTCCACTGAACCTTGGTATTTGGTCTCGAGGGTTGACTGTAGCTAGTTTATCCATGATCTTATGTCTCATATCAACTGCTTTGCTCTGTAATGGAGGGGGTGGCAGTGACGTTCCAGCTTCAGGTGTTGGCTGCACATCCAGTTGTTCTTCTGGGTCTTCTTGAGTCCAGGATGTAATGTGTAGTTGGTCTATCTCAAGCTGTGAGAGCAGCTTCCTTTTTACTATATTGAAGCATTGGGTAACTAGCTGTTTCTCAAATAGTGTGGATGTAGGTCTTTTGTCCATCCATGGTTCCCTCATACATTTCATATATCCTCTCATTAGGTCTGCTGTTGTAGTAGCATTCCATCAATTCCAGGTTCTCTTGTCTTGTCCATGTATGGTTTGTTCCAGTAGCCCACTTATCGTCAGATTGTCCTGGTTCCCCAACATCTGGCACAGACCTTGTTAATCTGGGTGATGTCTGAGTCGGCATGACTCTTTTAGTTCACGTCACTCTCGTATCCGAGGTAGGCAGGTGAAATGTTAGGGGGGCTTTGCCCAAGGACCCCTACTGGTAAGGTAGGTACCAGCTGGGATTCAAACCCTGATCTCCTGCATCAAAGGCAGCACTCTAACCACTATGCTATACAAGCTGCTTACATATATGTATATGTTTTAAATACGTTTTAATGTTTGTTGGTTTGGTCTTGAGCCATAGACAGATAGATCAGTCTCCAATGCTAGGGCACACAGTGTCCTGTTCCAGGCCAAACACACAAAAACACACCAGAGAGATAGTTGCAAGTTTTACTGTTGGTCTTTCAAAACAAGTACCAAGCAGCAGGGACAGCATGAACACAATGCACATGCCCACACAAGTGGGAAAGAAATTCCAAAAGTCAAGCAAGTTTGCCTTAATAGAGTCTCAAAGCAGCAGGCAAAAGAGTAGACAGAGTGAGGTCCAAGCATCAAAGCGTCACAGAAGGATCGTCAGTCAATCTGAGGTCCAGAATGAAAGTCACAGGATTTAAAAGTCAAGCTTTGAGGCACACAGAGTCTGGGTGAATGAACAGTTGATTCCAAAGGAGAGACTTGGGTTTGCTGCTCTACTTAAGCAGAACCAGTGCCAGTGTTGCTCCATATAGGAGGGTGAGGCTCCTTTCTTGTGAGCAGTTTGGCACAGCATCTTTGCTTCGTTCTCTTCTCCACACCCGAGTCTTTGTGCTGGGTGGAGGCAGCAGCTCAGAGTCCTCATCTTCAGGGACTGACAGCAGCGGTTCCTGCAGGTCCTCAGGCATGGTTCATCTGGTAACTCTTTGCTCATTGTTGGTCTCCTTGTCTGAGCCTGATCTCGTCATGACACACAGATATGGAAACAACTGAACAGGACCAAAGGAAAGACAGATGTGGGGAAAAGATACAGATAAAAAATGGGCAGGTCATTGCTTGGGAAGGATGGAAAGAGGGATAAAGCAAAAGCCTCAGAAATTAAAGCAGAACATAGCAAATTGGGAAAGGGCCTGGTGACCTTCTGTACAGAGCCATCTGTAGGGATATTTTTTAAGACAACAATTTTAAATATGTTCAGAAATGGAGTGCCTTTTCAGTATTTTATCCTGGATGATGGGATGATTCATAAGCTCCTATGCATAATCTGCACTGGGGAGACACATTAGAAAAATATTAACTTTTTGGCCAGCCAGAAAGAGAAGAAATTTTTCATTTTGAGTCTTTCTTTCCTT